CTCTCTCTCTCTCTCTCCCACAACCACCACCAGGTCTATTAGAGTAAGAGGATGGAGTGCATCAGGCACGGTCTCAGCCTCCACTGCTTGAACCAATACAATTTTTGTCCGGTTACTTCCTCAGTTTTTCAGTTGTCAGCTAGGAAGTAATAATCCCCAGGTACCTTGCAGGAGAGTTTCAAAGGATGGGACAGACCCTCAGCCATTAAAAAATACACTCAATGTGACATGAAGCCCAAAGATGATTACATTCTTTCAGGGCAGGGAGTCCCCAGTCCTCAGAGTCTGATCTCTTGGCATCAGGCTTGCCAGGCAAGGATGGCGGCAGCAGGCAGATACCACTCCTTCCTCTGAGCCCGGGAGGCCAGCCTGAGTGAGCTTCTATAAAGTCCTATGATGGGCCCTACCCACTCCAGTCCTCCCTGGCAAGCAAGTGCCTGCCTGTAGGGAAAGTGAAACTCTGGTGTCTGAATTGCTGAGTCATTAAAGTTAGTGCACGCGCCAAGGTCCAAGCACACTCGTCCATAACACTACCTTGAGGGCAGTGCACACTCATGAGCACATACAGCCAGCATGTGTGCACACTTGCTGGGTGGTGCACACACCCTCGTGTAGCATGCACCAAGGGAGCAGCTGAGAGGCCAGCCTTGCTGGGGACATCTCCACCCCCATTGCTGTAATTTTCCTTTCCTGGCAGCAGATCTGGAAGAACCTTGGCGGTGAGATAGGGCTGTAACGGGGCGGAGGACATGGATGTTCAGGCTGCCCAGCCATGCCAGCTTCACCCTTTCCAGAGGGCCCCCACCAAGCTTCCTGCGCCTATTTTCCTGTTCTGTAAAGTGGGGGCAGGGATGACATGGCCCTTCCATGTGCCTTTAGGGGCTGAGATGAGACCCAAGGGTGTCATAGGTGTGCACACGCTATCATGCAAGGGTTAGTATCTGTAGGAACCTGGAGCTGGAGGCTGCAGGGACACAGCTGAATGCAGCCCCTGCTCCACCATGGCCCAGCTGTGGCTCTTGCTCACCTCACGCCCTGCATCATCGTGGGAAGCCCATGGCCCCTACCTGCCGTGTTTGTACGTGGAAAGCGCTTGGCACGTCGTACACGCTCATAGCCTGCGAGTTTCATTGCCAGGGCGCTGCCAAGTCTCAGGAGAGCTGTTGACTGGGCCCCTTGTGGCTTCCTGACTGCTCCTGGGCCGGAAGCTGCCCTGGGATGTTGAGCAACCCCACATCCCCCCGGGCTGGGGAGGGGGCTGCTAGCAGGGGCAGAGGGGTCACAGCTGCTCATAGGTCATGTTGACTCCAGCAGCAGGGACTGAGCCCCGGCCCTACAGCCTGCCAAGTCTGATTGATGCCACCTCCTTGGTATTTCACTAATGTGTCCCCACCCACCCCTGTACACATTGCTGCCTTACTTCGGCCCAGGTGATTGTGGCCTCACAGCCATTCGAAACTCTCCTCTGTTCAGCCTTCAGAGTCCACCAAAAAGGGAAGCGGGTCTTGTTGCCCTGAGCCCACTTCCCTGAGGGTATCTGGCCCGCCAAACCCTGGCAGCCACTTGCCGTCTCCCAGGGCTGGACCTGATGGGGCCATGTATTAGTCAAGATGGGTAACTTATGTTCTGTGATTGTGAAGCCCTAGCCCAGTGGCCCCTGCTTTCCCTGTCCTGCTGTCTGTCTGTTGGGGTGCTGCTGTGCTGCACACGGTCCCCGGCCCCCCGGCGAGGGTCAGAGGCACCTTGTCTTACATGCTGTGCTCTGTAAGTGACTGAATCACTTTGTCCCTAACCCACTAATCAGAGTGAGTGCTGTGGCTGCCTAAACTGCGAGGGGGGTGTGTCAGGATGGAAGCCAGGGAAGACCAGTGGCCGTCACCATCTGCCGCACACAGGTGCTTATGGAGAGGGGGCGGGGGCTGGAGCAGAGCCTCTGACTTGCCTCCTGCTTTCCTATGCCCAGCCCAGGCTCAGGGCAGCTCCTTACTTTCCACTCATTGGCCAAAAGCCTAATGAGATCATTCTCCTTGCCATTTTTTTTTTCCCCAAGACAACCCATTTTCTTGTGACCCAGTACTGAGAAAAAGCTACACTGCTCCTTAGCCCATGGTGGCCTTGAGCTAATAGACACCGATTCTAATTGTGTCCCTTGTGAAATTGGTGGCTAGGACCCAGATCTGAGGTCTACCCCACTTTCTGTGCCTGGAGGACCAGACAGCATGCACTCAGTAGCATAAGCTCCCTACAATCCAGGTGATCAGTTTTCGCCAGCATTTTCCCTGTTTCTATACCCTTGACTATGGCTTTTCTATTTCTTTTTGTTTTGTGTTCTCTTGAGCTCTATAAATGAGGATCAATGAGCTTTAGTTAGTTGGTCCATCACTGTGCTGTGCACTTTCGTATAGCTCTAGCAAATGCAGTAAAGGTTTGGCAGAGCTCCAAGAAGAAAACTTAACATTTCTGAGCTTTGCATAATAGAAGGGGCCCCTGCAAGACCTTGGGATCACCTGGTGCATTGTAAAAGGCATAGCCCAGGGGTCAGGCCCCAGATATGACATTGATCAAGATATGTCAACTTGATTAGATTAAGAGACACCCAGCAGCTTGGTAAAGCATGCTTTGCAGTGTGGCTGGGTAATCTTGGGGGTGTGGCCTTGGGCACTGTGTCTGGTCCTTGGCCCCTGCCCTCTCTGGCACTGTTCCCTGCTCTGCCTTCCAGCCTGTGTAAACATCGCAGCCCCACTCCACCACACCCTTCTGCCATGATATTTCTGTCTTGGAGCTAGCGCATCAGGAACTGAAACTCTGAAATGACAAGCCGAATAAATCATTTCCTCCTGAAAGTTGTGGGCAGGTATTCTGTCCCAGCAATGGAAAAGCTGTGCACCTGATCAGTGACCTAATCCTGTGCCTAGGACTGGGCACAGAGCAGAGCTCCAGGGCCAGCACCTGGATGGGGCAGGCTCCTTCTGTCCTGCCGGGTGCCCTGGGGCTGGGCAGCTGCTGTGCTGGGCACTCCACAGCAGAACTCCCGCACTCTCTGAGGAACCTTCCTGTGCAGAGCATGAGCCCAGACATCAAACTGAATCTGGGCACATAGTGCTGAGGGTTAAAGTGGGGTAGGAGAGGCAGCTAGAGGGAGGCAGCTAGAGAGCTAGAGAGTAAGATCCCTGAAACCTGAAGATCAAAGATGACTCTGGAGGAGGTAGCTTGGCTTAGGAGAAGTGGCTGTGCATGTGGAAAGTGGAGCATGGGAGAAATAACACAGCAATAGGGAGGGCCAGGGACTGGAAATGCAAGGCAGGTGACAAGGAAATTAGACAGTACTGTTTAGGGGATAAGCGGAAGTAGTTACTGAGACCCAACCCAAAAGCCCAGAAGACCAGGCTCAGGATATGACCTTATCCTGAGGGTGACATATATGGGAGCATCGGGGTGATATGAGGTGGGGGCAGGCGTGACCAGGATCAACCAGCCAAGGCCTGGGGCCTGAAAGTACCCTGGCGAGATAAGGCCCCAGATCCTGTGTGGCCCTGGCTAAGGCCTGAACTGCTCTCAAGCTGGTTGCAAGGTGGCCCTGCGCGCCGCTCCAGCTGACCTGCCCTCACTCCTCTCAGCCAGCAGACAGGCTTGTATGTGTGTCTCATATACAGAAGTCCCTGATTAGTGAACATTCAAGTTGCGAACTTTCACAAATGGAAGGTCACAAATAGACCTTATACTTGGTGGTTTTGTTTTGTTTTGTTTTTTATGTTTTACATTGTATATTCGTGTCAGAGGTATCTAAGACTTACTTGGTCAGCCTTGTGAACGTATCCAGTTGACAAATGTTTTCCCAGAATGGAATTTGTTCGTAAGTCAAGTACTTTATGTTTTCTTTTGTTTGTTTGTTTGTTTGTTTTGTTTATGTATTTAGGACAGGGTCTACAGGGTCTCACTACACACATCAGACTCCTAGTGATCCTCCTGTTTTCAGCCTCCCAAGCACTGGGATTGCAGGCTCATACCACCACGCCCAGTCTCGGTCACTGTCTCAGTATGCCCCAGGGGCAGGGCTGGGATGGCATGCTGGGGATCAAACCCCAGTCCCTGTACCTGCCTAAGCAAGCACTTTAGACCACTGAGCTATCTGGCCGGCTCTTATATGTTTTCATTTTAAAATCTCCCTGCTGAGGTTAATAAACTAAGAGTGGCCCCTCACACATTCTGTCTGCCGCAGTCTCAGGGCCTTTGCCCAAACACTTCTGTCTGCCAGGACATCTGCGCCAGTTCTCCCTTGTCCTGTCTATGTGGCCTGCTCATCCTTCACCTCAAGCTCATGCGTCACCTCCAGTAGCTGTCCTCCCTGCTGGCATGTGCAAGTCCCCGGCGTGACGCCTCACACAAGGACTCTTCCCTCCCGTAAGGCAGGGCTCAGGCTCATGCTCACCAAGCCCCAGTGCCGGAAACGGAGTCTGGGCTCCGTCATGCTCAGTAAATAGTCAACAAGTACCAGCCGGATGAGGAACAGAGGAAACTCTAGATTCCTGCATGATAGCACGGGTTCAGCTCCCTAATCCAGAAGTGCAAAAGCCTGAAATGCTCTGAAATCTGAAAGTGGAATTGGAGCCCAGGCCTTCCAGCTCCAGAGAAGAGCTACCCACTTAGTTGGGCGAGGGACTGGGACAGAGTTGCTGGCCAGTTCTTTGTAGTTTCTCTGCCTTTTTGTGTTTACCTTTGAAGAGATGAAAAGCCCTAGTACATCAGCACGCAAGTTGGTGGAAATGATGCTCTGTGCCCCTTACCTCACTGGATGCATAGAGCTAGCCATGACTGTGAGCCACGCACACAGCTGGGCACTGCCCCCACCTGTGCCCACTTACAGATTCTCAAGTGAGGTCTTCCTGTGTCCCACAGCCAGGGCATTGAGCCTCAAGCCTTTTGTCCTATTTGTCTCCAACAGATGTCATGGCATCCCCAGTACCGGAGCTCCAAGTTCCGCCATGTCTTTGGCAAACCGGCCAGCAAGGAGAACTGCTATGACTCTGTGCCCATCACCCGCAGCGTCCACGACAATCACTTCTGTGCAGTGAACCCCCACTTCATCGCAGTGGTCACTGAGTGTGCAGGTGGGGGGGCCTTCCTCGTCATCCCCCTGAACCAGGTAAGACCACTTTGCCCTCCCCAGGCCATGACAGGCCTCCAGAGGCCGTCAGGACAGAGGGAAAGCAGACAGAACCTTGGTTTTTAGGCTTAGGTGTGATCCATGTCCTAGTCCTGTCTTGCCCTAGCTGTGTGACCTCAAGTAAGTCATGTCACCTCTCTGAGCCTTGGTGTCCTTCTTAGGAAAGTATCTGTATCTGGGGTTTCAGCCTCCAATAGCTGGGCTGGATATAATAGGGCTTCTGCTCTTCTCTGTAGGATGATTCTGCAAGTTAATTCACCTCTGCATAAAATATAGTTTTTAATATCTTCCTGAACTCATATGGAAATCTCAAAGCCACCTGTCCCTGCCAAAGAAAAGGGAAATAAACACTAGGCCTTGAAAGATGAGCTGTCAGAGGGCAGACTTGTCCTAGGCAGGCAGACCGTAGACCGTCGCCGAGAGTCAGTCTTATGACTCCTAGGAGTGACTGCTTCATGGAGATCATCCTCATGGCAGGGTACCAGCTCTGAGTCTCTGCCCACGGCTGGGCACCTGGAAAGACTTGGGGGCTTCTTAGCAGGGAGAGCCTCTAGCTCCCGCAAAGAGCTGTGAAGTCTCTCCAGAGAAGAGCGGCGCACAGACCAAGATCAGGATACTCCAGACGCACAGACAGCCACCACGTGACCACCACCTAGGAGTCAGCTGCAACGGCACGTGCCTGACCTGCACCCTCAGAGGACATCTGCAGTCATGGCCATAAATATACGCCAGAGTGGTTGAGAACGGGCTGGCTGGCTCGCTCTTTCTTTCTTTTCTTTTCTTTCTTTCTTTCTTTTCTTCTTTCTTTCTTTCTTTCTTTCTTTCTTTCTTTCTTTCTTTCTTTCTTTCTTTTTCTTCAGTCCAGGGTATTAAACCTAGAAACTTTGTACTGAGTTATATCCCCAGCCTTTTTTGCCCAAATGGAGCTCAAACTTGAGGCCTTCCTGCCTCAGCTTCCCAAAGTGCTGAGATTACAGGAGTGTGCTAGCATGCCTAGCTTATGCATAGACCAGACTTTCATTTTGCAGTTCAGTTGAGTTAGACATCAATAATACAAAGGGCTGGTGAGATAGCTCAGCAGACTAAAAACCTGCTTAGGCAAGCGCAAGAACAGGGATTTGATCCCCAGCACCACCTGCCATGGCAGCCCATCCTCAGGCATGCTGGGCCACTGAGACCAGGCGTGATGGTCCACACCTGTAGCTCCAGCTTTGAGGAGGCTGAAAACAGGAGGATCACTACAAGTCCAAGCTGTATAGTGAGACCCTGTACCAAACACATTAAATAACTAAATAAGGGGCCGGGAAGCTGACTCAGTAGAATAAGCACTTCCCTGGGAAGTGCAAGGGTCTGAGTTCAATCCTCGGTTCTGCCAAAAATAAATAAATAAAATGACGTAAATGTTAAATTCCTTCTCACTTAGAAAATTTAAAACACATTTCTGGGGCCGGGGAGATGGCTCAGTAGGATAAGCGCTTGACTAGCAAACGCAAGGATCTGAGTTCAATCCCCAGTTCCACCAAAAAAAACCACATTTCTAAAATAGCAGGGGCCAAAGAAGCAATCAGGAAATTTAAAAGTTCTTTGGATTATGTCATAAAACTTAGGGGATGTGGGGCATGTGGTGAATCAACACTGATAACAAGTACAGCACTGATACAAAGGGAAGAGGAAAAGTGAAGTACAAAAGGGAAAAAAAGGCTGACCATTAATGGCTAAGCATTTAATGTAAGACATTTAAAAAAAAAAAACAAAAACCAGTAAACCCAAAGAAAATTTAAGGAAGGAGATAATAAAAAGCAGAAAAGTCCAGGAATGGTGAAGCACGTCTAATCCCAGCTCTGGGTGAGCTGAGGCAAAAAAGCTGACAGGTGGAGGCCAGCCTGGGCTCCAGAGCAAGTTCAAGACCTAAGCCACACAGTGACACTCTTTCTCAAAAGAAAGAAAAACAGAAAGGAAAGAAGGAAGGAAGGAAGGAAGGAAGGAAGGAAGGAAGGAAGGAAGGAAGGAAGGAAGGTGGGAAGGAAGGAAGGATAGAGAAGCCTCTGGAGAGACTGATTAAAGAATAAAAGAAAGAAGATACAAATAACATCAGGACAAAAAAAAAGCAATGTAACCACGGAACTTTAAAATATAATATGATACAGCGGCCAAAAGCTCAGTGGATTAAAGTGCCTGCAAGCAGGCTCAGGGGCCGGAGGTTCAATCCCAGGGCCTGGCGTGCTGGCCCCACCCCCCAAGGCACACTGAGATGGTGATTGAGACTGGGTGTAGTGGCTTGCACCTATAATCCCAGCTCTTGGGAGGCTGTAAACAGGCGGATCGCTACAAGTCCAATCTAGTAGTGAGAACTTGAACACCCTATAAGCCCTTCCTTAAAATACAAAAATAAATAAATAAAATGTAATATGATAGCTGGGAATATAACTCACTGGTCGAGGACTTGCCTAGCATGTACATAGCCCTGGGTTCAGTCTCTAGCAACACAAGAAAATAATGTAGTAAGATATTTTAATGAGCAGCTTTATGCCAATAAATTTGAAAACATTGACAGTGTGAGATATGGATTCAAGTAGAGACTCTTTTCTCATCACCAGGAATCAAAAAAGAAAGGAAAAGTCTTATAATTTTTTTTAAATTAAGCAATAAAATTTTCTCTACACACCATAATGTCAAAAAATGTAAATGTCTTCTAATAGCAAGTAATAGCGAAGATAAGGAACAGTGTAAAATACATATGAGACAATTCTGGTTCCAGGTGAAATAGAAAATACATGTGGCCCGTTACCCGGGAATACCAAGCCGAATGTATGTTTGGTGCCCTAGGACAGAAGGATGGAATGGTGCATGGTAGCTCATGTTATAGCAAAATTAGGAAAATCCATGTTTTTAAATGATCTGTTGGTAATTTATTTTCCAGCGTTTACATTTGATGTTCTTTTTTGTTTGTTGTGTTTCACATATGCATATACATAAGGAAGATTCTAGGCCTAGATGAATTTATAGGCAAGTCTTACTAAACTTTCAAGGGAGAAATTATCTAATCTTTCACACGCTCCTCCAGAAATGACAAAAGAGGGAGGACTCCCTTCCTCATTCTCTGACACCTGTGTAGCCACGATACCAAAACCAGACAAAGAAGACGAAAGAAAAAAAAAAAAAAAAAAAAACGCAGACAGACTGCACTCATGAAAATGCAGAATTAGTAGCAAATAAAATCTAATCATGAATAAGGAAAGATATTTTGGGATCAAGTTATATTTATTCCAGAAGCTAAAGGTGGCTTAATATTAGTCCACAATGGTAAGCCATCTTATTGACAAATGACAGGAGAAAAATCATGCAGTCACCGCCATTGATGCAGAGAAGGCATTTGATAAAGCACAGTGACCATGCATGAGAAAAATCCCAGCAGAAGTCTCACTAGGTGTGTTCACTTTTTATCACCAGGACAAACACCTGAGATGATTAACTTTAAAGACGAAAGATTTATTTTGGCTCACAGTTTTGGAGGTTTCAATCCTTAATTGATTGGCCCTGTGGCTTTGGGGCATGGTGTCACCAGGAAGCACAAGAGACAAGGAAAGGGTCCAACAACCCGGAGGCAGGTGTCTGGTGCCCCATAACCTAAAGACCTCCCGCTAGGCCTCACTCCTTGAAGACTCTACCACCTACCTCCCAGGGACCTCCTGCTGGGAACAGTCAAGGCCAAAACTATGGCATCAGGGATAGAAGGGAAATCTTATAACCTATTGAAAACAGCATTTTACAAACTTTTTATTTTGAAATAATTTCAATCCTATAGTAAATTTGCAGCCAGACACAGAAGTACACACCTGTAATCCCAAGAGGCTGAAGCAGGCAAATCATTGCAAGTTCCAGGCCAGCTTAGACTATAAAGTGAGCTCAAGGTCAACCTTAACTACATAGCGAGACCCTGTCTCAAAAAGACTGAAAAAGAAAAAAAGAAAGGAAGGAAGGAAGAAAAAGAAAGAAAGAAAAATTGCAAATATAATTGAAGGAACTCCTGGTTATTCTTTACCTGGTTAACTAGTTATTAATGTTTTTCCATATTTGCACTATGTATGTGTTTGAAAGTGTAGAGATGCTGTAGCTACAAGCCTTCACCCCAAATGTTGTATTTCAGTCTATGTCCTGAGCGCGAGAACATTTTCTTGTATTCCCACAACAGAACCACATTTGGAAATCTAACACTATAGAATGCTAGCTGTACAATCCAAATTTATATTATGCCTATTACCTCAATAATGTTCCTTATAGCAAATTTTGCTTTCCTGATCTAGAATCCAATTCACAATCACATATTACATTTTAGGTATCAAATCTCCTAGCCTTCTTTATTCCATGTTGTTAGCAATTTTAAAAAGGCCAATGGTTTTGCAGAATGTTTCTAAATTTGGATTTATCAGGTTATGTGTTCATTAGACTCGTTTGTGTTATTTTTGGCAAAGACTGTTACACATCTGATGTTGTGTCCTTCTCGGTTCATCACTTCACGGGACCTATGATGTCATTTGTCCTGTTATTAGTACTGTTGGCTTTGGTCTCTTTGGTAAATAGTACAAACATCATTTATAAAGGAGGAATGTTAGACACATCCTTTTGAAATCAGGAATAAGATAAAAAGGTTATGACCTGCACAGTAAGAATAGAAAAATAAGTAGATGATATAAGGATAAAAAAGGAAGAAATGAAACTGCCCTTATCTACATAGCTGATTGTGCCCAAAGGAATGTGTATCTAAATTATTCTTTAAAAAGGGTATTTGTAAGGCATCTGAGTGCAAAACTCAAAATACACAAGTGATTTACTTTTGTACATACGAGGAACATTCAGAAAAGATGTAATTAAGTATTTCCAGGAAGATAATAGAAAATCAGATGCTTATGAATAAACATTAAGGACTTGGAGAAAATTGTAGAGCGTTATTGAAAGACTGATATTAAAGATGGCCTAAG